ATCATAGAACCATCTATAAACATGAATTTTAAAAGAGAAAACCACTATTTTCATTTAACGTATTTAAATAAAATTTCATAAACACTAGTGTAGTTGCAGTAATTTATTTCTTACAGTACACATCGCAATCACAGCTGAGATGTGCTGAACAAGACCACGTGTACAGTACGAATAAAAATCCTAAGGTGCCTGAAAATAAATATTTATATCATTATTATATTTTCATAAAACTTTCGAATATTTTGAGAATTTGTTAAAACTGCAATTATGGGCACTGAACTACAAGTATATCATTCCCCAAACAGCTAGTTCTCATTAGCATAAATTTGAGGCGGTTCTATGTTTCTAGCAGTTGTTATGTTGCTTATTTCGCAGCTTTACAATGGCAACACTGTAGTTTGACAGTTCACGAATGAAGGACAGAAAACCATAGGACGACAAAGCAGAAAAGTCTACTTGAAAAGTTAAATTTGCTGGAGATTTACATGGCGATTTGTTAATTTTATTGATCAGAAAATAGTCAAAACTTGTTTTTTCAGCACAAAAGTTACAGGTGTGTTTTCAATCAAAATTCAGTGTTGAAAGAGCTTAGAAACAAATGTCTTTGCACCGCCCAATAGTTCTAGATTTCCCAGAAACAAGCAAGAAAAAAATGAGCCCTACAAAGTGATATTACAACTTTTAATTAAATATTTTAAGATTAAACATGATCTTTATTTATCGAAATTATGCTTATTTCCTTCGTTATAGGAAGAAAAAGATGGCGCAAGGCTTAACCTCGCTGCAGGGCGGCTCTAACAAAGTGTTCATACAACGCGATTACAGCGAAGGCACCTCGGTCAAATTCCACACACGACTTCCCAGCGAATTAGAAGGCCTGGTAAGTAAGCTGTTAACGACTTAGTGAAAAAAAAAATAATTTTCATAATTATTATTAAGTTAAAAAACTTTATATGATTGCAGATTGAACGGCAAGTCTTTGAGTCGACCATTAATCGACTGAATGAATTTTTCGCAGAAGCTGAAAAGGGTTCTTGTAGTACATATTGTGAGGGTTGCATCGGCTGCATTACTGCTTATCTTGTGTATATGTGTTCGGAAACTCACTATGAAAAGGTGAAACCAAATTAAACAAATTTTTTGTTTTTTAACCGAAAACGTATTATCTTGGTTATTTTGATGCAGACACTTCGGAAAATATCCAAATTCATTGCTTCCCAAAACGAGCGAATTTACAATCCGAAAGGATTGCAAGTTATCGACCCGACGTATCGAGGTTTGCGCGTCATAGAAATATCTGTGTTAGATCGTCCAGGGCGAACGTGACTCCCACTTTCGCATTCGACCGAAGAGTTTTTTATGTGAAAATATTTGGGGTAAGATTTGTGACGACAACAAAGGCATCCGAATAATACTCCGATTGCTCACAATTTTATTATGTTATAGCTATTTTAGTATGGAAAGCCAAGTCTAATTTAATCATTTCTAGTTATTCCTAATTGTAATATATTTATGTAAAATAACAAGAATAGATTCTGGCTAATGAACAAAGAGCCATTGAAACACAAAATTCACAAAAATTTTGTCTTCTGAAGTGAATCCACTAAAATATTTATAAATATTGTGTGAGTAGATTTGAATTAAGAAAATATTGCATGTTATGACCTATTTATATTATTTTTACTGAATTTATATACCCAAAATAGAGTCTTAATAAGTAAATGTAACAAAACAAGCGATAAACCTCTGTGTCCAACTAGGGCATAGATGATTGGATTTAGTGAAAAGTAAAATTATTACGGCTTTAAAAGTTGTAAGCAGAATTTCACAAACCAACTAGTGTTTCATCTTAAATCAGTTGTGTACTGATATTTACATATACAAACTTATAAATTCAAAAAAAAAAAAAAAAACTTCAAACGAAAACGTAGTGTGTGTAAGTCACTAAGTAAAATTGAACGAAGTAATTGAACAAATTAATGTCTAAGCGTTCGTATTCCCACGCAAAAACAATAATGCGTTGCTACAAAAACTGATAATGTTATTAAAGAAAATACTAATAAAAATATCGAAATTAAAATGTGAATGTGTTGTGTGTTTGTGCCACATTAGACAAAATAAATTTAATCAACAAAAACCTAAGTAATTACGACATTAAAACGAATTATTTCGTGTGATTATCCTGTTTGCTGATTTCTTTTTATTTAATCCAAAACAAATATAAGTTATCCGCTTTTCCAATCGCAAATTTCTGGTAAATTGCGACATTTTTTTATAATCGTGGTAAATTTATAAAAAATAACTGCTCATTGTTTACCAATCAGACGTAAGTCATAAATATAGTTCTCACTTTTTTAATTTCAACGCTTATCAGCTCATGTAAAATACTAAATCATAGAATCATATAAATAATTATTATTTTTCCGATTTGCTCTTGGTTGTTCCACAACTTGTGAATGTTCAGTAAATCCGTCGTTAACAAATTTTCCCTTAAATAGTTATTTTGTCTGAAGTTAGAATATGCGGGGTGTAGAAGTCTTTGAATCCGTTCCATGGAGAAGTATTACGTGGAAATCATTTAAATTGCCACAATAGATCTCACTATTCAATAAAATATATTCCGCCGACAAAGCATATATACTGCAAAATAGGGTATTTTCGTCGATATCTGTCCGTTGGTGAGTGAATTACGAATTAAAAAAAAAAAAAATTGATCAATTGTGAGTATTTATGTAAAAAAAAAACCATTACACACCGACAAACATTAATTTTAAGTACTTGTGAATATAAAGAATGCACCAGACATACATAGCTTAAGGTTTTCACCAGCCGAAACAAATAATTTTGGATAAGACAAAAATGGAAATTCTGTGGTTCCTTTCAATTAAGGACGTAACTATTTTACAAAAGGTAAGTAAATTAAATTTGTAAAGTAGCATTTTTGTACCAATGAAGGTGTTTACTATTCATGTATGTATGTATTTAAGGGATGAATGGACATTATATACCAAAATGGTCGAAATGTGGGGAGTGTCACGCTCATTGCTTAATTTTGTGTCTAGCGCACTTACTTATTGATTAATCGCGTTTTAAGTAGTTTTTAACAGTACCGTCATCATCCGATTTCATCAATTTTCACACCTTTGGCAATAGTCCTTATAAGAATTGTTCTATTGCAGCTTTAGTGGTCTAAAAGATAGGTAGATCAAACCTACTAGAGGGCTGCTGGGCCCTGCCCACTTTTTCTGCGATGCCGTGTGACATGGCAGTGGTCCGATTACGCCCATCTGCGAACTCGCCCGCATTTTTTTGCCAAGGAATGTAATATACATATACACATATTATTGTATGTACCATGTTGTCTTACGATACTTGTATTTCAATCTTTACTAAAGTTGCAGCTTGCACGGACGAACAGACAAACATTCAGCCGGATTTCAAATCGTTTCGTCATACTGGTCATTTTGGCTTAGCGCTTTATTTATTTAAATTTAAAATTTTAACAAATTGTCTTTGAAGTTACGTAGTATATACTCAAGGAATACGAATTTAGAAACGAAAAAACGTTAGCAACAACAACAACTTGGAAACGACAACGGGAAAAGGCCGATTAAAATTTTGCAGTATTTTGCCCCTTTTCAGTCCTTGGTTTTTTATCCACAGCCCACATACATACATATAAGGCGCCCATAATATTTAAAAGCAGGTTTTGCAACAACCATAGATATTGTAGGCTGCTTCAGCTTAAAAAAATCAATTTGTGTGTGTATGTGGTTTATCTTCACGATTTATTACCCACAGCATTGCTATAATCTCCGAAGAAATTGTGCAAATCGACAAATTATAGCATTTAGCTGCCATATATCCTTGTATTGTCAACACTTTAAATAAATTAGAGGTGCGGTTATGGCAAATTGCTTTACAATCAAAGTTCTTTATTCTGTCTGTTCTTACAAAGCCAGCTCCTCTCAGTAGCCAATAGTTACTTATTTATAAGATATAATAAGACTTTCTAAACGGTCTTGCTTCATAGCAATTCTTATACATTTGCATGGGTTTTAAAGTAAAGCTTTTCATTACATTTAGTTTCAGTATTCATAGATTACATTTTGAATTTCATTTTGCCATTGCATTTGTTTTACATTTATTCATTACTTAATTTAGGAATTGACATGCACATTTAGTAAATGAGGTTTCGAAAAATACTTTAAATTAGTTTCATTCCATTTGTTTGTGCTTTTCTAATGTCAAAAGTTCGAATCAAGTTTTGATTACATGTTTTTCTAGTAGTTTGACCTTCAATCTATTATAACCGTTAAAACGCCACATTAGTTCTATGGGCTATGAAGTGCTCTGCAGTTACATTAACAGTTAGCTCCTTTCAGTTTGGAAACTCACTCAAATCATTATTGTTTAACATTTTTTTCTTTAGTTTAAAAATATTTTCTTTCTGTTAATTTTTTATTTTTTCGTGTTTATTGTGCACACATTACACGTACATGTAGTTATATCTAAAAGGATTTTTTCACAAAGGTGTTGCCATATTTCACTAATTCATAACAATTAAAGTAACATGCAAATTTACATACATATTTTGTATTTATTCATATTTGAGATTGCATAAATATCATCGTAGTGAGTGTATTGCTATCAAAGTAGTAGCGCATGCGCCGCCAATTGTGAGCTGCAGCACGAAAGTGTGTCTATGCCCCGGCCACAGCGAGCACAATCTCCATACAAAGTTTCATAAAGCAGTGCTTCGCTATTTAATCGCTACCAGTGCGCGCTTTCATTGCTGTGAAAGGTGCATATTGCCTAATAACTCTATTATACCTAAAGTTTGTAAAGTTAATCTGAATTTAATTCAAAGTAGTGTAGTTAGTATGTGATACGACTAGAATAAAGACTCACACTGAAGCGAAACTGCTTCCACATCTGCATATTTGCCTAATGAAAATTTGACTAGCTTACCGTTAAATAAAAAAATACATTCATCCATATACATTTGTGTGTGTTCTCTATACACAAAGCGGAATCGCTGCTAACATTTATTTAAAATTGAGTTCCAGTAAAGTCACATGTTTTACGTACATATCTAAGTGCATACAAGTATGTCCTATTAGTTTTTGGTAGTAAATTAGGTTGTGCTTTGTATTATCCTTGGTTCAAGAGAATTTTCAAACAAGCTTAACATCCTTTCAGCTGTTGGATTATCGTGGTTCTAATTACCTTGGAATCAGCTGCTCACTCTCGAGCGCTCGGCAGAAACCCGAAAAGCTCTCACATGAGCTACGCTTTTCTTTTTACGCCACGAAAGAGAAGTTTTCAATGGATCAAATTCGACTAATCGGAATATTTGACTGGTCTAATACTCAATTATTCGTAATTGCACTGTTTAAATTCTTAATGGCCTATTGTATTTTCCAATTCAAAATTGTAAGTGCAAATGCGTAATAAATTATGTACTTGGACTATTTCTTACCACTCTTAATTGGTTTAATAGTATATCTTTGGACTTTATTTTGATTTTTGTTGCAACTTTGTAAATCTTTTTTTTTCAATTTGCTAAAAAATTTTGATTTTTAGTTATCTTTTTCTCAGACTGAATATGCTTGCATTAACCCCTCCCTTTATACACAAAAGTGTTGCTCCCTTACCGCTATACCTATTTTACATATTTAAGTATTAACTCCAATTAGACATCGGTCGACCCCCCACCACCACTGTGCTTATCGGTGGAGGTCACCAAATTCTAATTGGATGGTTTTCGTCACAACAGCGAACACAACTTGGAGCGCTTCTTTGACTTGTCGGTTGTGCTGACAGTGCCTGCCGAAGATGTGGACGACGAAGCGGAAATGTGACCGGGAGCCACCATCATTGGCTGCGAAGGACTCGTTGGGCTTTTATCATCTAAATCCTCGCTAACATGTGAGTCGAGTAGCTTAAATGAGGATTTCTGCTTAACGCCATCCATGCTGTTGTACAGCGTTTTTGTCAATTTCGAACGCACGGCCTTGCCTAGAGCGCCCGTCTTTTTCATGCTCAGCCGTGTGCTACCGCGATGATGCTCCGGCGTGGAAGCATCGTCGCCATGCTGCTGATGTGGATGACAATTCAATGTGGTTACGGTGAATTCGATATCTTTTATCTCCTCATCGGCACAACCTGTTTCGGGGAATACTTGAAACATTTAGAGCACGCAATTTAATTATATCCGTAAAAGTGTCGTAATTCATACCGGCAAATTCTTCCACTGGTTTGTCGATGGTATCGTGATCTATCCAAGTGAGACCCATTTCTACTTTTTCGGCCAAATCTTGCCAATTGCGTCTATTTTCTAGAGTACCCTCATATAGTGGAGTTATCCAGGGGAAAGTGTCGCAAAGTACACGATAGAGCGGCAAACATATCACATCTATGAAACCCACTTGCATTTTAGGCAACTCGTCCTTGCGCTCACTACAAAATATAAAGTTTATATCTTCTGTAAAACAACATAGTCTCCCTTTCTTCACTCACCGGTCCATCATGGCGATTGGTTGTGTATTTAGTTGCAGCTTCTCAAGGTCACCTTGATCAAAGAACTCATCCGCTACTAGCTTGGCTAGACGATGTTGTACCTCCCAAGGTTTTGCAATGGCGCTCACATCGCAGGCGGTCATCATCATACCGCAGAGTACTGAAACACAAATTATTGGTGATTATGGAACTATGGATCTGCAGTTTGACACTTACACTCTTTCTTTTCCTCACTCTGCCAATCGAATTCGCCGTTTTCGACGAGCTCCAGAAAGGCATTACGTTTTTTGAAATACATTGCCAGATCGGTTGAAAGTATGGCATTTTCCACGGTACTCATAACTGAACGGTAATCTTCGGGTGACAGAACCTGGAAGGAAATAAGGATGATGAGAAAATTTGTTTACGAATGTTTATGGTTTATATAATATAAGAGTCAATTAGATTAGTATTATGATTAGAATGAAAAGAGTTAAAAACTAATGGATTGTTGTCATAAAAGCTTAATGTTTCATTGGATTTTAAATTTTCATAGGAAATATTTGATATCTTCAGCCCATATTTTTCATTTCTTTCTATCTGGAACATATAAAACAATATAAGCTGTTTGAAATCTTACCTGAAATATATTATTTCCCTCCGAATTCAAAATCATTACACACTGGTCAAAGTGATGATGTTCCATTGTGCTAGTCGTGTATAGTATAGCCAGTGGTGACTCGGTTTTTGTTTGGAATGCATTATTTGTACCACGATGATCCAAATCATGACATAAGCAGGCCACCAAAAGGCCCAATATCTCTAAATCAGTCATAAAACGTTCCATTTTGCCAGTCTTTAGCATTGCGAACATTGTTTGGGCCACATTGAGGGCGTGACGCCAATTGTGATACTTCACTGGACGGTAATTCTTGCGCACACTCAGCACCCAACGGCAAAGAACCTAAAAGGGAAAGACATATCAGTTTTGTTCTAGTATCGTGAAGCTAAGAAGACTTACTTCATAGGGTATTTGGAACTTTGAGACTAGATTGCATTGCAGAAACATGCACAAGACGGCGCGACAAGTGTCATCATCACAGAGATTAAAGTCTGCCAAAAGTTAAACGTTGGAAGAGTCACCAAAATACATATTTCCGAAAAATGTGAGAAACTCACCAATAAACTTAAAACTATATAAATCATATTTTTCGGCCGATTCAATTCTATCGTTGACCAGCTTCTGGGTTTGCTCCGCGCTAGCGGTCGCATGATAAGACAAACATTCTAAAGCTACCTTCTGCTTCGCCATTAATTTGCAAGCGTTCTCGTACATTTGGGTGTTGTGTATACCCAAACCACAAAAAATGGCAAACGCCTCAAAAATGGAAACATCTGAGTCGGTGAAGGGCAAACCCGTACTCTGTGTCAGAGTTGAAAAAGACACAAATTAATATTATACCATATATATTTTCAATTGCACAAAACTTTCAAAGGTACAGTTGAAGTACCTTATTAATCAACTGCGCCACACCAATCACCGTCTTCTGCGCATTCGCGATCGGCATACACAAGATCGCCTTTGTCGCGTCAATCTCATTCTCTGTTCGTATTTGATTATGCTCCCGTACCCACTCATGGACATCACTGATATTCACGGTTTGCCCGGTCGTTGCAACAAATTGCGCAATCTGCGCCAGAGTGGAGTTGCACAGATCGTTGACAGAGGGGCGGGAAATATTGGCCGACTGGTTGGAGGCACCCAGCTCAAAGAGAACTGTGAAGCGCGTGCGGGACATTTGCTATGGAATATTGGAAGATCAGCTAAGTATTGGAGAAGAGTGTTGTAATAAGTTTCCACTAATTCCACACTTACTTTGTCATCTCTTTCATTATCGTCCACGTCCTTGATGGCGCGGTTAAGACGAGTTTGTAGTTGACTAGGTTTCTCAATAATTTTCTCCAAATGACTCTGCCAAAATGTAAAAAAAAAAGGAATTAATTTTTTGCCTTCTTCTATCAAATTCAGTGATAATATACGTATATGGTATACGATTTATTTTCCTTGTAACCCTTCCTACCTACCGCCTCACAACAGTCCAAATCCAGCAAAAACACAGCGCATCTCTCGCATTTAAGCAGCTCTCGCGCTTCCGTCATAATTTTTGTCACTAAACATTCCAAGTTATTTTGCTCCTCAAATATATTTCGCGCTAAACTTAAGAGTATTTGGTTGCGTCGATATTCCTGGACGGACATTTCAAATAGTTGTGCGTTTTGTATGCCTATGCCGCAAAAGGTTAAGTAACGTCGGAAAATCTCGACGTCGTGTTCGTCAAATTCCATGGAACCTGTAAGAGAGTGAAAAACTTAATTCTAATTCATGAAATCAATTTAAGGGAGAACTCATGTGCTCGAGTTTAGCTTGGCTAAGTGTCCTGTCTTTAAACGAGTTTTTCACGAAACTGTGTTTTTGAAGTCGGTTGGCAAGTTTTCTCGAAAACTACTCAACCGATCTTCATGAAATTTTGCACAGGTCTTTGAGATACAATTCTTTTCGATTAAAACTATTTGAAAAATTGTTGCGCAACTTTCGCTGAAATTTTCATTCTTTATAAAAATTCCTGCGATAAATCCAATTTCCATTTTTTACCTTCGTCCAACTTCTAAATTAAGGTCTTACCATAATACGTATTTTTTCACTTGAGATGATTTTATGAGAAAAATTTTTAAAAAGACTGTTTTTTGCCCGAGGAAACCCCTTAAGCGGTGAAATTTTCGTAAATATAGAATAAAACTTTTTGGAAGTGACTTGATGATTTAAATTTATGGTATTTTCAACTGATATCACTTTCAGATCAAGCCCATAATTTTTGCTACATTGACGAATCACTGTATGGTGAATATATTCACGAATTTTTGCATAGATTATTATCCAAGGCATGGGCATAAATACGAACAAATTGTTCAGGTCAGACCGCTCTAGCAGATAGCTGCCATACACACCGACCGATCAAGTTCAGCTTCTTGTATCGGAACTTTTTTATTTGTAAATGTGAATGATATGTTGCGTGAAGGCGAAGTTAACTTCTTTTTCTTGTTTAATAAAAATTGTAAGTGCATTCGAAAGTTCAATTCTAAATAGAAATGGAACATTTTCACAAACGGATGCGAGCAATACCTATACCTCCTATAGCCATTAAATCGTGAACGCCTTTTCTCAGCAGATGAATGATTAATTTGTTTATGAATTTTCCATACAAAATGGCTGATTCGAACTTAATTAAAAACATTTTCCAAGCAATTCATTATGTCCGAAAGCTCAAACAAAATGCGGCAGTAAAACACCATAATTAAGCAACAATCTCTCCACCCATGTCGAGAGATTTTTCTCCCTTATTACTAACAGTTGAATATATATATTAGAACTTTTCAAAGTCTAATTTGTGTTTGTGCAATCTCAGCAACTTACCGTTGGTTTTGTTGATAATCTGTGCCACTCCTATGACGTCTCCTTCGTAATTGCATATTGGCATCGATAATATTGCATTCGTTTTGTAGCCAGTCTTTAAATCAATCTCACAATTAAAACGTGCATCCTTGTATGCTTCCTTTATGTTGATCATCTCTTTTGTTTGCGCCACCATGCCGGCAATGCCCACACCGAAAGGTATTCGTATCTCTTCCAGCTTAGCCTTCTTAACAGCATCCTTGAGCGCTGCAAATGACAAAGGAAACCATTGCATAAGAATCAATAGTCAATTGCAAAAATAGCCAAGTAGCAAAAGTCAATTGCAGCATTGCAAAAAAGAAAACCGAAAAGTAGAACGGAGATAAAGAGATTTCATTTTGTGTGCTTTGCTGCTGTACTTCATTTGCATGCAACGCTGAATCCTTAGGTTCACATAAATACTGCTTCAAAGGTCTCGTAATACCAACGGCCTTTGCTTTTGTAATTTGGACTCACCTGTTTTCTGTGTCACATCGAAGAGCTTCGCAACCAGGTATTTATTGTTTGGTGGCCCCTTGGCTAGAAATAATGAGCCACGATCCGCATGAGTAAGCAGTCCTACATTGACGAGGATTTTATGACACAGCACATCAATATCCAATTCATTGGCCACATCACGAATCAGCTCCATGAATAGTTCACCTTCATCCAATTCCATCAGGTGACGACGACTATCAAATACAGAATTGCCGGAGGACGTGGACAGTGAGCGGGAGTGAGGTTTCTGCAAAAGTAAAGAATGAAGATGAAACAATGGGATGTGAAAAAATGGAAAATGGAAAACTCAGTGAGCTGTTTTAAGAACAATATGTAAATTTAAGAAATTGTGTACATGTGTCGATGATAGTTGTGCACTTTCCCGCTTCCCTCTTGGATTAAAGATGTTATTACTTTGTGTGCGATTATGATACAAACAATTTGACGGTGATAGATGATGCTCAAGTATTGGCCTTTTCAATTCTTTAGTAAAACCAAAATGAATGTGAGACAATAATTTTACGAAAATCGGTTCAATAGTATCAGACAAACAGCGCATATATGGTATATTCGATGTTTTATATAGTAGAATTGTCTTATTCACCTAACGGTAATTTGTATCACGTAAATATAACCGAAATAGTTATCGAGTTATGTATATACGAGAGGCTGTCTGTCCGTCCGACCGTCTGCGCATGGAGTAAAAACTATCTTGATTTAACATGGAACACATGCTCCTGGTCAAAGAAGGATAATGGCTATTGCCACACCTACAGAACGTCTTTAATTGGAAGCTTATAAAACGCCGTTACTTAACTGCACAATATAGTACAAGACTATTATTTCGCAGAATGAATCCAAGCCACTAGACCTCGAATATATGAACCCCAGAGGCTTTGGCTGACTTTTACCGAAAATATTCGTCAATCTGTGAGGGATTTCAAACATCCAGTTTACTTTATGCAGTATATGGTATATTTAACTAGCAGACTTCTTGTCGCATATGTCGGCGAGTGCTTTGTTATTTTCAAAAATCGCGTGGGAACATGTTCTCGAATATGTACATACGTTGTGACAAAATATCATCAATATTTATTTTGTCGCCTTTAAAGTAATCCCTACCAGATGTAATACACTTATGCAACGCTTTTTCCAGTCTTTCAAACACTCTTCATAAACATAAACACATTTTGGGATGGCCTGCAGCTTCTTCAACGAATTTTGCTTAATCATTTCGATCGACAGAAAAAGGAATTTTGTGAGAAAAAGTCACACGGCGCTAATTATTGTGAATATGGTGGTTTAGCGATGGTATTCATTACGTTTTTGGCTTCAAATTCGATCACAATCGATGCGATAGTAAAATCTATGAATTGATCTTTTACAATTCCGGGCATTTTCGACGGATGTTCTCACGCAAACGCCTCAATACGGCTATATTGAACTACTTATTGACCGTCTGTCACTCCGAGATTGGAAATCGAACCAAAGAGACCTGTTTACGGTATTCGTTTTGAAAACAAATCAGCTTTATCGGGACGAGTCGAGCAAGAACGCGTTTCGTACCTGAAATATCCACCAAAATCATTGTCGAACTGTTCTGCCATATCTCTAACACTTGCCTGACGTCAAGCACCCTATTATTAACTTTTTTAATATTTTCATCAGCTGTGGGGGTCGAAGGTCGTCCAGTACGAAGCATATATTCAACGATCTCTTGACCGTCTTTGAAGGCCTTGTACTACTCGTACTGCTCTGGAAATTGAATGAATTTATCACGCTTCAGTTCAAAAATCATTTTTCTTTTTATTCCATTTCAAATTAAATACCAATTTTGTTTTGTGTCTGAGGTACTAAGTATTACCAATATGCTTTACAGCGTCACCAAAATTAGCAATAAAGTATAATTTGAACAATGTACAAAAAACATAGTATACTTATATAAGAGGTAAGACAAACAAGTAAGGATGGGCAAATGTTGGGTATAACCGCACATTTTATACCCTTGAAAACTTCTTTCAGCTGCTGGCAAAACTTTATATTAAACATGATTAACCGTGAATAAATTACTAACAAATTTGGTATCTTCTTGACTTAAATTGAAAAAATACGAGTATCTTCAACTGAGATACGTTTATATGTGATATTTATTAACTCGAACGAAGAGTTATTGTGGAAAACGTCAACCATAGCATCGGAATTCATTATAATAAAGATATAGGGTTAAGCCAAGGCCTAAACGAATTCCATTCTAAATTAGCGCTAAACTATACAACTTTGACCTTAGAACGGTGCACTTAGTGCCCATACTCATTTGTATACTCTCGCAACAAAGTTGCTAAGGAGAGTATTATAGTTTTGTTCACATAATGGTTGTTTGTAAGTCCTAAAACTAAAAGAGTCAGATATAGGGTTATATATACCAAAGTGATCAGGGTGACGAGTAGAGTTGAAATCCGGATGTCTGTCTGTCCGTCCTTCCGTCTGTCCGTCCGTCCGTGCAAGCTGTAACTTGAGAAAAATTGAGATATAATGATGAAACTTGGTACCCTTATTTACTGGTTTTATAACAAGGTTAAGTTCGAAGATGGCCAAAATCGGCTCACTGCTACGCCCACAAAATGGCGGAAACGGAAAACCTATAAAATGTCATAACTAAGCCGTAACTAAAGATATTAAAATGAAATTTGGCACAAAGGGTCGCACTAGGGAGAGGCATATTTGGACGTAATTTTTTTGGATAAGTGGGCGTGGGCCCCCTACTAAGTTTTTTGTACATATGTATGTCGGAAACTACTATAGTCATGTCAACCAAACTCTATAGAGTCGTTTCCTTCAGGCATTTCCATATACAGTTCAAAAATGGAAGAAATCGGATAATAAACACGCCCACCTCCCATACAAAGGTTATGTTGAAAATCATTAAAAGACGTTAACCGACTCACAAAAAACGTCAGAAACACTAAATTTTGTGAAAGAAATGGCAGAAGGAAGCTGCATCCAGGCTTTTTTTAAGAAATGAAAATGGGCGTGGCGTCGCCCACTTATGGACCAAAAACCATATCTCAGGAATTACTCGACCGATTTCAATGAAATAATATTTTCTTAACACTCTGATAACATGTACGAAATATGGGTGAAATCGGTTCACAACCACGCCTTCTTCCAATATAACGCTTGTTAGAATTCGATCTGATGAGTTCTCTGTATAATATATATTAGGAACCAATGATGATAGCGGAATAACACTTTACACAAATACGATATTTGAGTTGAAGTATCCCTTGTGAAAAAATTGTCGTGATCGGAGTATAACTTTTCAAGGTCCCTGATATCGAACACGAAGAACTCAGTGCCTGACCCAACCTAACCTAATTTTTCCCGAAAATGTCGGTAAATCTCTCAGATATTTTCATGTAATTCAGAAGGCATCATTTTTATACTCTCGCAATAAAGTTGCTAATGGGATGTCTGTCTGTCCGTCCGTGCAAGCTGTAACCTGAGTAAAAATTGAGATATCTTGATGAAACTTGTCATGCGAGAGATCATCAGGATGAGATCAGCAAGTATCAGATGGTCGATACGTGAACTGCAATAGCGCTTTGTAGGATATTTACTTTTGCAATTCATGCACGTTTTCCGACCGTTGCAACGGTTGTGCGTCTCGCAGTTAATTTGGAGAATGGCCAAAGAGTATATTTCAACTCAGAGGATACAGTACAGCCAATGAAAACACTGCAGCAACAAAATTAACATTTACGATATTTTTCTCAACTTTCGTCTGTGAACCGTTTGCGAGAACTTGCTCTGCTCTTGCAGAAAGGAAGGCAAACCAGTAGATTGACATCCAGGTGTGTTCTCAACTAATTCCTTAGGATGAATTTATACAAGCCACCCGAAAAATGGCGATTGTTTCTACCTTCGATTAACTTCATTTGAGTCATTGCGAACTGTGAATGGTACGGCGTGTGTAAGTTTTGGAGAAGTAAGCCCGCGAACAAAAATAAAATTGCCGAAGACATTTTACATCGTCTTCGCTAAAAATTGGAAATGGGTCAATTACGGTTGATACTTCCGGTGGTTTGATATCAATTCCATTCGCCATTTATCAATTCCCGAAAAATGAACTCATCATGAATGTTTATCCGAACATTGGCCAAATTATCGTAACTACGATTCCTCTTAAGTGCACGCGCAATGTTAGCTGCCAAAAATACCGATGTTGTTGACTTAACCTGGAAGGTTCAAAGTCAAATTGCGGGAGACTTGCCCTCATACAAAGCGATCGATCGTCTTGACAATAAAGACGACGCCGTGAATTATCCGGTGGAATTTCTAAACTCTTTGTAGAGGCTTGGTACGCCGCCGCATCATTTGCGTCTCAAAGTAGGATCTGTCGTTATTATGTTTCGCAATCTTCATGCACCGAAACTGTGAAATGGAATGCACCTATCGAATACAAGTGGACAGAATGCTTGATTCTACGAATTCCTTTGAATTCCAATGATTTGCCGTTTCAGTTCAAACGTATTTCGCTTCCGGTGAAAATTGCATTTGAGGTGACGATCAACAGGACACAACTTGGTTTGGCAAGTTTGGAAGTGCTATGTTTTTCACACGGTCTGTACATCGAAACAGAAACCAGAAAATGTGGTTTATCAAGCAACGTTACATTGAAACAAAATGAAATGTTAAATTAAACATTCTTTTCATTTCAAAGCACATAATTTCACGCAGGACAACGGCTGGAAGTGTATATATATATATACAGTGTCGAACAAAACATATTGGACTGATGGCTTTGAATGCTAAAAACATGTGGTATAGTCCAAATTACAATTTTAGATATCAAAAAAGTATTTAATTATAAAGGCATATTGTTTATTTAGTGAATCAATGAAAACCCGTATAATTTTTTTTAAGAGTTTACATTTTATAAGAAAGAAATTACAAGTACCCAACATTCACTGCGACAAAACATATTGGACTAGTCGGTTTTTTCCGTGATAAGGGTCGAAAATCCCATTATTTTCTGATGATTTTGCATTATCTCTGCAATTTGAAAAACGACGTAAAAAATCAGCATCATTTTAGTTTAACAAAGTGTCTTTATATAAAAAGTTGTGACGTGATTAAAATTCTACTTATTTCGAAGATATTAATAACAAAACGTGACCATGGCTAGAAACATACAGTCAATTCTATTAAAGCAATTAATTAGTAAAGACTACATAAATGAATTATCAC